CAGGTGTCGCCACCTTCTGGGCCCACCTTTACTGGGTCAGAGCTCAGCTTCTACTGGCCTCGCCTGCATCCCAGCATTTCTGTGATTGCTTTTGTGCATTTTTTATATCCCCTGAGGCAGGCTTCAGCCCTGCCGCCTGCCCTGGATGTCCAAGTTATCCTCCAAAGTCCCAAATGTTATTTAGCTAGTGCTCTGGTTTCAAAGTCAGGTTTGAGTTATTGTCCCTTAACCTGCTTTCCCAATAAGCCTGTGATTTTATTGTGCATTTTTCGTAGAGCATAGGTTTTTCAAGAACACATACACTATGTTATAACAGAAACACTCACATTTAACTTTAGTGGAAGCATATACCTGATTATAGTTAAGTGTTACTAGTCGTTAAGTGGTAAATAAGGAAAAGATGAAACAGGTTTTGTCTTATTTCAACTTCTGAAGCGTATACCATCTCTGAGACACAGATAGTTGGGTGAACCGTTCTTTTCATATAGGGCTTTGGACTTTATGTTCACGGCCCCTTGGATGAAGATGTTCAATACATATTGATTAATATTCAATAAACATTCCTTGACTGCCCCTGGACCCAGACTTTCAAGGTTCATCTGTGCGTCTTTCCAGAGCATTCTGGTTCCATTCATTCTGAACACACGCGAACTTCTTCAGTAACATAACGCCCTCAGGGTTTATCCCTGTTGTCACAAATGGCAGGATTTCCTCCTTTCTCGTGACTGAGTAATGTTCCATTGGATATATATGTACCACATTTTCTCTATCCATTCATCCATCAGTGGACACTTAGATTGTTTCCATGTGTGATCAATCGTGGCCGTTTGCATCCTCGGCTGCCTGGCCCTTCTTCCCCTTGTACCCACTCTGTGAAGCCCTGGGAGAGTCCAGCTCTCCTGTGCTGCCCGAGCCTCTCCGGTCCCATCTGCCTAATGCTACAATGAATACGGGGGGTGCAGATCGCATCAAAATAGCGATGTTATTTCCTTTGGATATATACCCAGCAGTCGGATTGCTGGATCTTTTGGTAGTTCTGGCTTTAATTTTTTTGAGGAACTTCCATATTGTTTTCCATAGTGGCTGCAACAATTTACATTCCCACCAACAGTGCACAAGGGTCCCCTTTACTTCACTTCCTTGCCAACACTAATTATCTTGTGTTTTGTTTTTTGGTTTTTGGTTTTGGTTTTTGTTTTTGGTAACAGCCATTCTAATGAGCAGAAGCTCTTAATGTAGGGTTTGTGAAGATTTTAGAGAGGGCATGATTTCTTTGTGGCTCAAAAAAAATTTAAGAACCACTGGCATACGAAGATGCATGTCTACTTTTAAGTAATTAGAACATAACCAGAACAGCTCGTTTCCTCATCCTTATAAATATAGGTAGGAGAGCCTTGATAATCCTATTCTCAGAATAAGAAAATCAAAAAGTTTAGGGCTCATACAAAATTTAACTCTTTTCTCTGCCTGCTCGTGTGTGCTTATTGGTGTTTCTTGATGGATTACAAGTTCAAGTTTGAGGGTCTCAACTTTTGGAGAGTTGTGGTCCCCTTTAGGAATCTAATGATAAGTAGGAGTCCCAGAAAATGCCTACTGATCCAAAAAAATGCATAGAATTTCAGGAAGTGCTCAAATTGTTTGAGATCTGCCTGTAGATTCCTCATGTCAGACTCCAGTTTTGAGACAAGCAGAGATTTTTGTTGACTCAATATGTGAAGCGCTGTTAGCATTATCGTTTCATCTTTTAAGTTACTAATCTTAAGATATAAAGGGTGACTGACTGCCTTCTGTATCTCTGGGTTGAAGATTTTTGTTACAGTCACTTAAATTCTCAAAATCGGTCATGTGGAATCTGGTGTCCTATAACACCGTGTTTTGCTACAGCAAAGTAACTAAGACACTAGTGATGACATGGTAGTATCTTTTTTTTTTTTTTTTTTTACTTGCTGGTATTCTTTAATTGACTGTATCGAATATCTTGCCATTTTACAGGAAGAAGAAGAAGCCCAAGCGAAGGCTGATAAAATTAAGATGGCATTGGAAAAACTAAAGGAGGCCAAGGTCAAGAAGGTAAAATATGAATCGTTTTGCACAACAAAGCTGAATGAATGACGTTTTAGGGTGCTTAATGATTAAAAAATTAAAATTGCAAGTGCTGCTTTCCAAATAGTTGTAATTTTTCAGAAGAAAGATAAATTACATAGTTATTCTTTCTATGACATCAGTTAGCTCATTTGTCATTAATAAATAGGGGACCTATATTAGTATAAATGTAGAAGAGTTCAAGTCTCTATATCCAGGGCTCCCTCCCACCCAAGATACCCTCTCTGGTTCTGCTCAGCAATTAGTTATTAGCAGGTGGCGCCACCTTCTGGGCCCACCTTTACTGGGTCAGAGCTCAGCTTCTACTGGCCTCGCCTGCATCCCAGCATTTCTGTGATTGCTTTTGTGCATTTTTTATATCCCCTGAGGCAGGCTTCAGCCCTGCCGCCTGCCCTGGATGTCCAAGTTATCCTCCAAAGTCCCAAATGTTATTTAGCTAGTGCTCTGGTTTCAAAGTCAGGTTTGAGTTATTGTCCCTTAACCTGCTTTCCCAATAAGCCTGTAATTTTATTGTGCATTTTTCGTAGAGCATAGGTTTTTTAAGAACACATACACTATGTTATAACAGAAACACTCACATTTAACTTTAGTGGAAGCATATACCTGATTATAGTTAAGTGTTACTAGTCGTTAAGTGGTAAATAAGGAAAAGATGAAACAGGTTTTGTCTTATTTCAACTTCTGAAGCGTATACCATCTCTGAGACACAGATAGTTGGGTGAACCGTTCTTTTCATATAGGGCTTTGGACTTTATGTTCACGGCCCCTTGGATGAAGATGTTCAATACATATTGATTAATATTCAATAAACATTCCTTGACTGCCCCTGGACCCAGACTTTCAAGGTTCATCTGTGCGTCTTTCCAGAGCATTCTGGTTCCATTCATTCTGAACACACGCGAACTTCTTCATCATTCTTTGCTGTTCTCTGCATGTGCTCAAACTCCGTGATCAATCGTGGCCGTTCTACATCCTCGGCTGCCTGGCCCTTCTTCCCCTTGCACCCACTCTGTGAAGCCCTGGGTCAGTCCAGCTCTCCTGTCCTGCCTGAACCTCTCTGGTCCTATCTCTCTCCCACTAATCTGGAAAACTGCTTCTACCTCGTCCTCTCTTTTAAAACCGCTAATACCGATCTCCTCATCCACATTCCCTCATCTAATGGCGTTGCTGCCCTGAAAAAGTAGAAGATATCAACGGAAAGGCGCCACGAGCTCCCAACACACTTACCTGCCTGCCTGCCTTCACCTGTGACACAGAACCCACAGTCTTTCCCGTCGTCACGTTTCTGAGGCCAGCCTGTCCTTGTGTGCTTCAGTTTCCATCCTCTCTTCTTGTCCCTTCCCGGCTCAGAAGCCTCCAGTGGCATCTGTCTCACACAGTAAAGCCCAAATCCTCACACAATCCTAAATTCCTCTACGATCTGGCTGCCCATCTCCCACCACTCTCTCCCTCACTCGCCCTCTTCTACTACCTGGTCCTCAAATGCTGTGGGCACATCCTCACCTTGGGACCTTTGCTCTTTGCGGTCCCTCTGCCTGGAAAGCTCTCCCCCAGATTCCAGTGTGTCTTCTCTGTCCCTCCTTTAGGTCCTTTCAGTCACCTGCCCAGTGAGGCCCTCCCCATCTGACGTGACAGACGTGCACCCCCAATACTCTGCCCTTCTCCTCAGCGCCTATCACCTTCCAACACACTATCTACCTTTCACGTTTATCACATTTACTGCCTACATCCCCTCCACACACCTATAGAAATTCCTCCAGGGATTTTGTGTTTTCCTCACTGACGCATCTCCATCTTAGAACAGATGCTAGGGAGATAAAGAGGTGAACCAGTCAGACGAAGTCCCTGCTTGTGGGCAGTTAAATTCTAGTTGGGGGAGAAAAGAGCTTCAAAGAAAATAAAGCAAGAAGGGGTGATAGTGCCCAAGCAAGCCACTGGTTGTTTATAAAATGAGGCCCACAGTGGATATTTTTTCAGAGGGGAAATGAAAGAGAAGTTGATTCTTAGATAAAAAGGTATCTAACAGCTGGCGTATTCAGTCTGTTTGCTTCGACTAGAGGTTAAGAGAACAAGGAAGAGCAGCTGTTTCCTCCTATATCTCAGAAAAGGAGACGACGTGGCCATGATTTAGTCGAGGTGAATTGTAGCAGTAAACACAAAGCAAAACCTGCCTTCATTCAACAAAGATGTGACAGAGAAAAGCCGCTCCCATCAGTGGGAAAGGAAAATGAAGCCAGTTTGTATATCTGTTCTGATTTCAGATGCTCCAAATGTATTTCTTAAAACAAAAGCCTGTGTGTGGCACAGAACTTTAAGACAATAATTGTGACATGTTCATACATCAGTGAAGTAACTAATTGGGTTACTGAGAGATATATTCACACAGAATCTATGATGTGCTTTTCAAAGAGAGAAATCAAGTCTGTCTGAAGTGCCTTGCCCTCCAGTGCTCTGTGGTTTGTTGACATCATTTTGGATTATAAATGTACACATCTGGCGGGACAAAGCTTTCGGAAGTAGAAACACAACCAGAGTCACTTGTTAATTTTGTTTGTTTGTTTGTTCGTTAGTTTCAAAGCACTGTGACAAAGGAGAACCATTGCATTTGTAAATTTGATTGTAGAAGAAGAAAATACTGTAAATGATTTGAGGCTAGGATATTCTTATATTTAACAGCTTGCAAAAGAACAAGACATCATAAAAACTATAAAATCTTTACCATGATGGGTTAGAAAGGGGAAGTTTCTTCTTTCTTGAATCATTCTATCCTATATCACACAGCATGAATGTAAAAAATACTTAGTTTGCTAAACCACATGACTCATTTAGCGGTGTTATGTGTTGATGGAGATACTCTTCAGCTTGCAAATGTGATGGAAGCTGTGAAGAATCGTAAATATGATTTCTTCTTGCTAAAAGTCACCAGCCTTCTCTAGTTTTTTTTTTTTATTGCCTAAGTTTTATAATTGTGGACATTCATAACTACATGTGGATTAAATTTAGTTTGCTATTTCAGCCAAAAAACAAAACAAAACAAAAACCCTTTCATCATTGTCAAATTATGTGGTCTAGTTTTTTTTCTCTATATATAAAAACAAAAGAAAGCATCAACATGTTTTATTTTCTCAAGAATTCCTGAGCAAGGATGAAATGTGGTCAAACATCCTTAATTTTTCCATCAGGAAGATTAAGTACTAACGTTGGCAGAGTTTCTTAGGACGTGTAGCTACTTCATAGCACTGGTTCTTAGCAGACAGCAACGGGTGTACCTTCTACAGAAACTAAATCATAGTAAAGACTACTATTTGAGGAATTTCTGTTTTCCCATGCAGCCCTCCATGCCTCGTTTCTCAGGTGAGATGAATGCATCGTTGGCACTCAGATGCTTGAGCCTATCATTTTAAATACATCGAAAGACAAACATATGAAAAAATAACAACTCTCCAACTAGAAGTTTCTAGGCTACTGGTTTTCGAGGGGAAAAAAGTGTTTTTCAGACAAGGCTGAATTTCACTGGTCCCAGGAGGAGGAAAGGCACTTTTACTGCCCCCGTTTCTACATTTTGACTGGGTAGAGGAGCACCACATTAAGCTTGAACTTGTGGTCCTTGCCTGCTGCTCACCCAGATTTTTATCACCACCCACACACACCGTTGGTTGCTATCGGCAACTCTGCATAACAATCCACAGGAACTGAACCTTCACTCTGTTAACTACAGAATGTTTTCTAGATCAGATTAGAGGGAAACGAGACAGGAGGGGCAGTTTCCCAGCTGTTCAGAACCTGACCCAGACTTTTGGGGAGGAAGAAGTATTACCACTTGTATGTCCTCTCTCTCCAGTCAATCTGATCACTATTTAAATAATGTCAAGATTCATTTGCGAGTTACCGGGACCAACTCTGGGCAAACAGGATAGGCAGAACTTCTTTTTAGTTGTTACACACTTCTCTTTTCAAGTTAAAATAGAAATTTAAGCAAGAGTATCAGGTGGTTCTGTTTGATGATGTTGGTTCTGGTTGGCAATGTTGTTTCTAGGATTTCTCTGCTGGCTCTGTGTGTAATAGTTTGGGGCACCACAAGCTGGAGGTGGGGCAGTGATGGTCTGGAAGGAGAAAGGCAGCACCTCCTCCCTCCATTTTGTTCAAAGATAGATCTAACTTGATTGACTCTAATTAGACAAATTCCCTCTTATTTAGGTAAGATCAGTGTGTAATAACTTAGGGCCTCGTGGGCACATTTCCACTGTTCCCTTTGAAGAGCAGATGTATAGCACCAGTGTAACCTATAGCACTCATAAATAGCAAACTACCGTAAGTTAAAATGTGCTGTAAATACACACACATTGAAGAAAACCCAAATCCTAGCTGCCTTACTTCATGAATTAATTCTGTTATATTGCACCAGAATTGTGATCTATCTTGCAGATCAGAGGTTTAATAGCTTTGACACGTTGTCTGGGAAAAGCCAGTGAAATCCTATGTCCTTATCGAAGATGAGTAAATGCCACTTTCCCTAAACCCTTCAGATTTGGAATGAGATAACTACCAATTTGACCGTGAATTCTGTCCAGTAGAATTTGTACAAATAGAACGAAAAGTCAATTGCCTGCAGGCTTCCTTAATAGCTTGCTTCTCAGTCTACAGTCATTTTGCTGGATCCACCACTAATCGCAAACGTGTTCTGCTGAGACACAACCTTCCTCTCAGTAAGACCCCTCAGTGACACCATGTCTCTGTGTACTCCTGACCTTCAAAGAATTGTGGACTAACCAACTTGGTCTTACCTGGTCTTAGAACTCTTGGGTTGCATGAAATGAGACCCAACTCCATCTAAGCAAAAGAGAAGAATTTATTATACAGATGCAGGCTTGGCTTTCAATCAAGAAGTGCTTCTGGGCTCCAGAATGAACCCAAATGAGTAACAGAAAGATGTCAGGAAAACAGGAAGTCAGCACTTCTTTGGTTCTATTTGTCTTCCTTCTCCCTCACCAGAGTGCAGAGTCTCTGAGGCCTGGGCAAAGACTTTGTTTGTATGTTTTTCTATTTTTGTGAAATGGCTTCTCCACTTCTATATTCCTAATACCTTAAATAAGTGCTCAGCACGTGAGTGAGTTCATATGGAGTTAGATGGTGGGACATATTCTTACTCAAATTCACAGAAGCAATAGCAACACTGAAGCAATAATGTTGAAACCTTAATCTTGGTGGCCTTCTTCGGTTTCTGAAATTTAGTGGCTGCTCTGTGACTTTATCCTCAGCTGGTTGTCAAGGTGCACATGAATGATAACAGCACGAAGTCGCTGATGGTGGATGAGCGGCAATTGGCCCGAGACGTGCTAGACAACCTTTTTGAGAAAACCCATTGTGACTGCAGTGTAGACTGGTGTCTTTATGAAACATACCCAGAACTACAGATTGGTAAGTCCCGTCCCCAGCTATAGGCTGGAGTTCAAAACCTGTGGGTTTGCTTTTTTATGGGTTTTGATCTGTTATTAAGAAGAGTTTGGTTCAAGACTATCAAGACTTCCCATACCTTCCTTCCCTTCTGTCAGATTCAGTTCTTGCCTCTTCATTTCTTTGTAGGGGAGAGATTCACATTATAACAGGTGGCCAGACCTTGGACGATGTAAGCATTATTATTGCCACTTCTGGAAAGGAAAGAGATACAGGATTATATTTCTTAATGCGCACTTAGCTAGTTGAGCAGATTGTGGGAGGGCCTGGGTATCTGTCAGCTAATGTCCTTTGGAGCTCGCTTTTTAAAACTGTACTGTAACTCTGGCTCATATCACTGTTCATTTCCCATTTCTCCATCCTACTTGCCTCATGTCTGACAGTTTGTCTAGTAGAAGAGGCTTGGCCCCAAAGAGCAAAGGACACTTGATAGAAATTGCTAGAGTAAAAAAAAAAAAAAGGAAAAAAAGCAATTAAAGAAATACTTTGTTATTTCTCATTCTTAATGTCACTCATAGAACGATTGTCTTCAAGAAGAGCTTGGTGGTATGTAGGATTGCCTGTTTTGGAAGATTTCAGTGAAATTTTTTTTCTGGAGGAAATGGCCTATACTGAAATAACCTCTTTAAGTTTTCTTCAACTCTCTGAGTCAAACAGAAAAATGAAAGCCTTCCTTTATGTTTAGGTTTGGTTCCACTATTCATATATTGTTTTTAGAGTTTAAGGAATGACGTCTTAGAGTACTTGTTGAATAGCTGACAATTTCATTCAAAGGTGTTTAAAACAATTATTGCCTTATTGTCCTCTTTACAGATAGGATGTTTACCTCCACCTGGAACTAGCTATAGTCAAAAATGCTAATATGGAAAAAAGTCCAATGGCTTACTGTTATCACTATATTGTAGGTTCATCTGCCTTTTTTTTTTTTTTTTGGAACTAAGTTGAAGACCTGACACTGAAGAATGAATATAACAGGCATGTTACAATGTGAGATCGTGTAAGACTTAGGAATTTCTAAAAACCAGTGAGAAGTATGAGGCATTGTGCTTAACTTAGTATTAACTTATCTCTCTGCTGGAAACCTTGATGTATTGGGTCTGAAAGAATGCTTTTTCTTGTTTCATCAGAAAGGTTTTTTGAAGACCACGAAAATGTTGTTGAAGTCTTATCAGACTGGACAAGAGACACAGAAAATAAAATGATATTTTTGAAGAAAGAGGAAAAATATGCTGTATTTAAAAATCCCCAGGTAAGATAACTTGTATATTCTTAAACTATGTAGTGGTTTGGAGTGTGGAAGATGTTTTTAATGTCACCTGTGTGCTAACCGCATCATTCATTATCTCATAAAATATCACAAATATATCCTTTCAAAGAAACACAAACTCAACTCTTAGGCCATGTGTAAAGTAAGAGCAATTTCATTGACCGTTCTACTCAGAACCTTCCCAGACTGTGGGAAACCCAGAATGAAATTGGTAGACTTAGTGACTGTAGAAGTCCTCAGACAAGATAAAATGAGTAGAAGCTGTGAGGACAATGCCACGAATGGAATTGGTTGACTCAGAAGTTACTAAACTGCCTCAGTTTCTCACGATGAAAAGAAACTGATCCCAGGAGGCCCAGATCAGAAGAAGCCCAAATTTATTATTCCTCTCTCTGTATAGAAGTGCATGCAAAGGCCTGGCCCAGGCCACCATTCCTGGAGAACAATGTGCTGTCTGACAGTCACATTGTTCTGCATGGCAAATGACATCTCTGTGCCCTGAGGAAACAAGGTGGGTATTCTCATAGGTCTGCACATGTAGATCCCTAGAGGGCCTGAAAGTTCAGATTCTGTCTTTCTCCTTGGAATCTGCATTCAAGACTTCAAGGTCAGTTGGTTCTTGGCCTACCCATAATATACAAAAGATGGAATAGCATTTTCAGCTTGACTGAGAGAGAGTTTATCTGGCCCAGAATATCAGTTCTTCTGGAAAATTACTCAACTATACAAAACTATGCAAAATTTCATGTTTAAAATCCCAATACTGAATCTTTAATAAAATGTCTTCTACAAATGATTTATCTCTGGGATAAGTCTAGGGAGGAAGGTAGTAAAATTAATGCAAAGAGAGGCTTTCGGCTCAAATATCGGAAACAAGAGTTAGCGAAGATTTGGGGACATCAGTGGTGTGCTTATGCAGGCATAAATACAAGGCACCCGTTTCCACTGATGACTGCAAAAGTGATGTTACTCACCAGTCTCAAGTGTCACCTGCTGACTATGTGGCCTTGGCATACTTTCCGATGTTTAAATTTAGCTTCTTCATTTGCACAATGGTGGTACCCCTGCACTTCCCACCTCAAGGGATCAAATCCGGCCTGAATCCACTTGCTACATTGTGATGTGTAAAAGTTGAGTGGTTTGACCCCACCTGAAATTCAGCAGTCATCTCTAAAAAAGTTATCTATAATAAATATGTATGGAGAGAAACCAGATTCTGCAAAGTTTTGGACCCAGAGATTCCTAATTACAAAGGAATTCCACTGGTCTATACTTTGGGAGGTAATAACAGATCACCTCCTTTTTAAATAAAGAAATACAAAGCAATGAGTTCCCCTACTGGTTGTTATTGTGCCCTGTTCAATTTAAGAGACTCGTCAGCTCTCTGGGACAGTCGCTGTTTTAGCTTCACTCCCAAGAGGCAAGAACCATGTGTGAGCCTAACTCCGAATCTTGGTGGAGATCTTAGGTGATTTGTGGTTCTTTAAAGCCAATGCTGAAATCTGAGTGCATAGATACTGCCATCATCTGTCACTGGGGATCGCTTGGTCGTGACAACAGAAACTGCTCTAACTAGAATTTTTCAGCATGGTTATTGAAAGGATACAGAGGAGTGAAGGATGGGACACATGTCTGGGGATCTCAGGGGCTTGTGCTAAAAATAGAACATTGTGGGGACCACGGCCAGGAGCGTCTTGGTCCCAGCCCTCCCTCAGGCCTCTGTCTCTCTGTATCACTCTGTCCCTCGACAGACTGTGTCCTTCCTCTCCCTCTCGGCAGCCTCCCTGCCTGCGTTCACGCGCCTCTTCCCACACAGCCCCTTATGGCCAACTTCAAATGGTGGCTTCGTCTGTGAATGGACATCAAACTTCTGTGCTTGCAAACCCCTAAAAGAACTTCGGAAAACTATGTACCACCTCACACATTCCTCGGTTTTTTAACAAAAGTTTAAGTAAATGCAAATAATGCAGTGTGCAGCATGATACCTTTCAATGTTTTAAAAAGCCATCCGATGAAATCTACCATTCCATGGCAATGCCATTGCCATCAGCATCTACTATAGAAGCACATGAGTAAGCTTCTTTAAATTTTCTTTTTTAGAGCAGTTTTAGGTTCACAGTGAGGAAGGGAGTGGCTGCGTGAGAGTCAGAACAGGAACCCTCTTGCCCAGGCGGTACTGCCTCTTTTGGGGAAAGTGGGTTGGGGCAGTAGAACTTCACCATCCTAGTAAAAGCAGCCTTATTTGAGAAGCAGCCTAGGTGCTCAGTCTGGTTGTTACTGGGAAGGTTCCTCTTCCAGGCCGATCACAGTCGTAGGTGGTCTGCTCCCCGCAGATTCGTGCCAGGTGTTCACATGGATGTCAGCCATGACTGTGACCCAATGGATTTTGTTTTCCCAGTTATGCTGACATGTAGCCCTACTGTGCAAAGACCGATGACACTGCCTGGAACCAAAAGAGATTGCTAAGGGCTGAGGACTTTGTCCGCAGAGGGAGATACATACCTGTCAGTGTTAATATTAGCCATTCTTCTTGCTAGGAGCTTGAGAATCTATTTTTCAGAGAAGATATTGGTAAAATCAATTAACATAAGGTTGCTAGCTTACTGGGTTGCTTTTTTATTTTTTTAATAAAAGCTATTATTTTTCTGACTTTGAAAATAATATCAATTTCTAGTTTTTTTCAATTATAGTTGGCATTTAATATTATATTAGTTTCAGGTGTACAGCGTAGTGATTAGACATTTATATAATTTACAAAGTGATCCCCGCCCCCAATGAGTCTAGTACCCGCCTGGTACCATACATAGTTACTACAATATTATTGACTATAAAAAAAAATACACTATACTTGATATTCTCATAACTATTTTTTAACTACCAATTTGTGCTTCTTAATCCCTTCTCCTTTTTCATCCAATTCCCTGATACCCCTCCCATCTGGCAACTTAATGTTCTGTATCTATGAGTCTGTTTCTGTTTTCTTTGTTTGTTCATTTATTTTGTTCGTTAGAGTCCACATGTAAGTGAAATCATGTGACATTTATATTCCTCTGTCTGACTTATTTCACTTAGCATAATACCCTTTAGGTCCATCCATGTCATTGCAAATGGTAAGATTTCATCTTTTTCTATAGCCAAGTAATATTCCATTGTATATATATGTACCATCTTTTCTTCATCCAATTGTGTATCGAAAGGCACTTAGGATGCTTCCATATCTTGGCTATTGTAAATAGCTCCACAGTGAATGTAGGGATACATATATCTTTTTGAATTAGTGTTTTGGATTTCTTTGGATCCAAATGAAATTGCTGGGTCATAGGTACTTCTATTTTTAGTTTTTTAAGGACCCTCCATATTGTTTTCCATAGTGGTTGCACCAATTTGCAGTCCTGCCAACAGTGCATGAGGGTTCTCTTTTCTCCACATCTTCTCCACCATTTGTTGTTTGTTGATTTATTGATGATAGCCATTCTGAAAGGTGTGAGGAGATATCTCATTGTGGTTTTCATTTGCATTTTTCTGATGATTATTGACATTGAGCATCTTTTTATGTCTATTGGCCATCCGTATGTCCTCTTTGGAGAAACATCTATTCAGGTCCTCTGACCACTTTTTAATTGGATTGTTTGTTTGTTTTGGTGTTAGGTTGTATGAGTTCTTTATGAATTTTGGATGTTATCCCCTTATCAGATGTATCACTGGTGAATATTTTCTCCCATTCAGTAGGTTGTCTTTTCATTTTGTCGATTGTTTCCCTTGTTGTACAAAAACTTATAAATTTGATATAGTCTCATTTTTTTTTCTTTCCATTGCCTGAGGGGATATATCGGGAAAAAATATTACTAAGAGCAATGTCAGAGAGTTTACTGCCTTCTAAGAGTTTTATGGTTTGGAGTCTTTATATTTAAGTCTTTACTCAATTTTGAGTTTATTCTTGAATGATGGTCATGTTTCATTTTTTTTTTCCCCGTGTATCAGTTCAGTTTTCCCAACACCATTTATTGAATAGACTGCCTTTACCTCCATTGTATATTCTAGCCTCCTTCGTCATAGATTAATTGATTTTATAGGCATGGGTTTATTTCTGGGCTCTCTGTTCTGTTCCATTGATCTGTGTCTGTTTTTATGCCAGTACCATTCTGTTTTGATTACTGTAACCTTGTAGTATAGTTTGATATAAGCATGATATTGCCGCCAACTTTGTTCTTCTTTCTCAAGATTGCTGTGACTATTTGAGGGCTTTTGTGGTTCCGTATAAATTTTAGGATTATTTGTTCTAGTTCTGTGAAAAATGCCGTTGGTATTTTGATAAGGATTGCATTGAATCTATAGATTGTTTTGGGTAGTATGGACATTTTAACAGTGTTAATTCTTCCTATCCATGAGGACAGTATATGCTTTCGTTTATTTGTATCTTCTTCAGTGTCTTGTAATTTTCCGAGTACAGGTCTTTTACCTCCTGGGTTAGTTATTTCTAGGTATTTTTTATGCAATCATAAATGAGATTGTTTTCTTAATTTCGCTTTTTGACAGTTCATTATTTGTGCATAAAAATGTAACTGATTTCTGTATATTAATTTTATGTCCTGATACTTTACTAAATTCATTTATTAGTTCTAATAGGTTTTTGGTGGAATCCTTAGAGTTCTCTGTATATAGTATTATGTCACCTGCAAATAATGACAGTTTTACTTCTTTTACAATTTGGATGCCCTTTATTTATTTTCCTTGTCTGGTTGCTGGACTAGGACTTCCAATACTATGTTGAATAGAAGTGGTGAAAGTGGGCTCCTTGTCTTGTTCTTGATCTCAAGGAAAACACATTTAGTTTTTTCCCATTGAGTTTGACGTTAGCCGTGGGTTTGTCATATATGGCTTTATTATGTTGAGGCAGTTTTCTTCTGTTCCCACTTTGCTGGAAGTTTTTATCATAAATGGATGCTGGATTTTGTCAAACACTTTTTCTGCATCTGTTGATAAGATCGCATGATTTTTATCCTTCATTTTATTAATGTGAGATATTATGTTAATTGATATGTGGATATTGAACCAACCTTACATCCCAGAAATAAATCCCACTTGACTATGGTGTATGATCTTTATAATGTATTGCTGAATTCAGTTTGCTAATATTTTGTTGAGTATTTTTGTATCTGTGTTCATTGGAGATATTGGCCTATAATTTTCTTTTTTGGTAATGTCTTTGTGTGGTTTCAGAATCAGGGTAATGGTGGCCTCGTAAAATAAGCTTGGGAGGCTTCCCTCCTCTTAAATTTTTTGGAATAGTTTGAGAAGGATAGGTGTTAATTCTTCTTTGAACGTTCAGTAAAATTCACCTGTGAAGCCATCCAGTCCAGGGCTTTTGTTCGTCGGGAGTTTTTGATTCAACTTCATTAGTAGTAATCAATCTGTCCAGATTTTCTGTTTCTTCTTGATTTAGTCTTGGAATATTGTATGTTTCTAGGAACTGATCCATTTCTTCCAGATTGTACAATTTGTTGGCATATAATTGCTCGTAGTATTTTCTTATAATCCTTTATGTTTCTGAGGGTTCAGTTGTCACTCCTCCTCTTTCATTTCTGATTTTATTTATTTAGGTCCTCTCTTTTTTTCTTGATGAGTCTGGTTAAAGGTTTATCAACTTTGTTTATCTTTTCAAAGAACCAGCTCTTGGTTTCATTGATCTTTTGTATTTTTTAAAACTATATTTCATTTATTTCTGCTTATATTAATTTATTGTTTTTAAAAAGTTAAAAAATGTAAGAGAGAATATTTAAATCACCCATGATCCCATACTTCAAGAGTAATCACTATTGATATTTTAGGCAATTTTCATTCCATTGTTTGTTCTGTTTCTTAACCGAAATTTGGTGGTAGTTGTGGTTTACCAGTTGGCTGCTCGAGTGAAGAGCAGTGAAAGAAACACAACTTCATTCTTCCTCTCAGGTGTAGACAGCCACTGTGGGAGAAAATAACCTCATGGCTTTGTTCCTCCATTCCTTCCCAGCCTTCCTCTCTCACCAAGATTTATCTTTGACCACCCAGGACCAGGCCTATCTGGAAGAAAAGTATACAGTAATCACATTTATGGTTCCCATTGTGGACTACTATTTTAAAGGAAAGTCTGCCCTTGGTTTCAGTGTCCTAGATCCTCTCATCAGCCAGTGTGGACGTATGTAGTAGGGTTTGATGCATAAAAACAACCTCAGAATCCCAGTGGCTTACAGCAGCAGACATTTCATCTCTCCTGGGTCTGCAGATCATCTGTCCTTGGCTCTGGAATGTGAGTCGAATTCAGGTAGATCTACATGGCTTTTATTGTTCTCAGGCCAGTAGCCACCTGTGACACATTCTCATGGCGATGGCGAGAGTACAGGAGAATGAGAAGAAACGACACAGCATCTCAAGTCTTCTGCTCAAAACTGATGCACTGACCCTTCTACACACATTCTGTTGGCCCACGCATGTCACAAGTGGGGCAGGGAAATAAGCTCTGCCCATTCTAGTGGAGGCACTGCACAGTCACCTGACCATGTGCATTGGGTGTATTCTGATACAGGGATGAAGAGGAGAATTGGGAGCGGTGGTCTGGTTTCATCAGGTGTGCTTTATTAATCCTCACCTCTACCCAGACTGGTTAATCCGTGGTGGTACAAAGATACCCAGTATTTAACTATTTCTGGGCCTTTGTACATGCTTTCCCTTCTGCCTCAAATGCTCTCCTTATTCCCTTTTCCCTATCTGAACATTGAACATCTTTCAAGGTCTAATTCAAACTTTGACCTCCTATGTAAAGCCTTCCTTTACCATCTTGGTCCACAGTGACTTCTTCCTCTTGGAAAACCTGTAGAGCTTGGTTTATTTTGAATGTATGCAGTATCTTGTATAGCCCCATCTATAAATACATGTATATTTATCTGTCCATTTATCTTCTCAATGTGATAGAAATCTTCTTAAGAACAGAGATATTTAAAATGTAACAGGTACTCACAAATATTTATTTATAGACTGATAACTATTTTGCTTGATTTACTCTTTATTCCAAGAAGGTGGTATTTTTAAAAAGCAATGTATTTGCTCTGTTTCTTTCCTATCCAGCTGTCCCCAAATCTTGCATTTTCAGAAGCTCTTACTAAAGGGAGCAAGCTGTGACTGAAAGTCTCATTTCCCATTTTAAAGTTCTCTTATTATTCAACTCAGATGTCCACAGTTTCCTTTTGGAACAGATGATGAATTAACTTTTTGAGTGCTGCTGGCTTTTTGAGAGCCACCCAAATCGAGTTAGCTGACCACATGACAGGCGAACCACAGTCCCGGCCCAGCCACAATCAGCCCTTTCTCAGGACCGCCCGCCCCGGTCGCCAGTTCACATGTATTTTGTTTTTTTTTTTGAGTTTTCCCTAAAATAAAATCACAGTGTAGCACTGTCACTTGGAAGGAAAGAAAAGTTATTTAGAAGCTGAAAAAGTGAGAGGGATTTCAGAGAAAAGTCTCAGAGAAAGACACAGCTGCAGATGCTGACACTTTAGGATAACCTCATAAAATGGGCCCTTCACAGTTTAGAAAGGCCCGTCCCTTGTCTGTCCCTACAGAGGATGACACGTGCTCTCCTTTTCCCAGATGGTGATGAAAAGCACGTACCATAGAGTCTTCTTTGTGTTTTCCATTCATTCTTGCAACTCATACAGGATTCAAATTTCTAGGATTCTCAAGCACTCTCCAGCAGCACTCAGGGTCTGCAGTCACACTTATGACCAGGCCATCTCATATTTTTATTGTGGTAAAATATACATAACATAGAATTTACCATTTTAATCATTTTAAACCATATAGTTTAGTGGCATTAAGTATATCTACACTGTCATGCTGGGTTCTCTGCTATGGCACTTAGAGCTGAGAAAGTTATGAAAAACTCAGAGCTCTGGCACTCACTGGCCTTGAGCACATTACTTAATCTTTCTGTTTCCTGATCTATAAAATAAAATTTGCAAAATTAGGATATCTCCTAGAATGCTATGTTATGGGGTTCTTTGAAGAATGAAATGAAAATCATACCCGTAAGGCCTTAGCATAGAGTTCTAGCAGGTAGTATATATTATCTATTATGATTAGTCATAGTCTTCAAGCCACACATGTAGAATTAAAATAGATTCTGAACCCAAATGACAATCACACTAAGTCACAACACACTGTCTTTTCAAATAACAAGTAAAAGTTAGAAGTCTTGAAAACATATTAAAAGATAATTCAATAAGAACTATCGAAGGAATTGTACTTATTTCCACTATTTAAGTTAGCAAATCACCATTTTTATACCTTCTGTTTCTAGGAGATATCCTAATTCTGCAAATTTTCTTTGCCTACAGTTTGCTTCCTAACTTTCTGTCCGATACGCTCTGTTCTTAAACTTCAGTATGAATAAAAATCATCCGGGAAGCATGTTGGAATGCAAATTAATAGGCACCACCCTGAAGATCCCAGATCAGTAGGTTGGGAGGCCAAGACTATGCATTTAGTTGAGCATCAAGGTAGTCTGGGGATCATGCTTGGAGAAATACTCCTAAGCTGTACAATTAAACATTGTCTATGGATGTGGTTCCATAGTGTAGTGGTTAACATGTCTGCTTTTCATGCAGAAGGTCCTGGGTCCATGCCCCAGTGGAGCCACACAGTCCATGGTCTAAGGCCATGCCACCCTGAACAAGCCCAATGTCTGATCTCAGAAGCTAAGCAGGGTCGGGCCTGGTTAGTACTTGGATGGGAGACCACTGAGAAAGACCAGGTGCTGTAGGCATAAATAATAAGAAAGGAAGGAAAGAAGGAGGGAAGGAAGGAAGAAAGAAAGAAGTATATTATATGTTCTAGTTTTAATATATTTTTTCATACATTATTTTACAAAACCCTTCATTTTCACATAAAAGACCTCAATACTTTAACTATGACATTGATCTCTCATAATAATCACTTTGTAGATTGATACTTCAGCTGTACTAATGATATAAAATGTAGCCTTTGGATCCTCTGATTTGAGGGGAAACTTATGAATTTAACATGTAGTTTTAGCTCTCATGTACTCAGTATTGACAAGATGATACATAGTTTAATACAAATCCTACTTAGAGATCATGGACCCATTTATGAGTGCTTTGAAACCATGGTCTTCCCTGCCTTTGTTTTGCTGGCTCTCTTTTGAGAAATGCTCTTTCTACTTCTTTCTATCCTTAGAAGTTTCCAAGTAGCACATTCTGTGTTGTGATTGACTCACACAGTTTTTTAAAAATTAAAATTAATTACCAACATTTAAAAAAGCCAGATGTCAAGCTTCTCTCGATAAGCCAGTACCTCTAGTCCATAGCTGCCTTGTGTTCCTACGAGGCATACAGCAGCCAGAGCAGATCCACTCCTGGACATGGGACATGGGCTCCACCTTCACTCCAGCCCCAGATTCTTATCGGTGCATTGAGATCTCCCAGTTTCCATCATTTGCCACCATGTTCTAGACCATGAAATTTAATAATCAAATGACATCGTATTCTTTGCTAGTGTTTTCAATCTTATGTTTGTCTCCTCATTGATTGTGTGCTAGGGGAGAAAAGGAAGGTTTTACTTCTGCCCAGCAATGCCGGCGTCAGCACTTGGTGAGGCCTTTGATAAGCACTTGGTTGACAGACAGCATTCGCTGTGGTTCTCAGTTTATTTCCCACAGATACGTCTTCTCTTTCCAGCAAGACCAGGAGTTCTTCGCGGTGGCTAGCGTAGAGATGAAGACTGACTGATCCGATCTTTTAATATTTTGTTTAGAATTTTTACTTGGATAACAAAGGAAAAAAAGAAAGCAAGGAAACAAATGAGAAGATGAATGCTAAGAACAAGGAATGCTTACTTGAGGTAAGTTTAATTTTGTGGAGTAGAAGAAAAGAGAAGGATGTTAACTGTATCTATTTTTAAATTATTTGCTTCTCAGAACAATGGGAGATTCTGAGACACACTGAAATTTCAACTTGGGGTTTTAAAATCAAATTATTACTAAATTATAGCTATTTAGATAATTAAACTGGTTCTTTAACAATTGTTAAAAAGTATGTCTTTGTATACTTTGTTCTTCGCGAAGTTGGATTAGTAATTTTTGACTAAAAGACTTATGAATCCACATAAAACTCATTTCCTAACATTTCATGTCTTTTATTACTTAAGAGCTCCACAGAAGTCAGATGTAAGAATTTCTAAATCTTCTTTTCGTCAAATTCTAAGATGTTCTTCCAGCAGCCAGGTGTTGTAGGAAGTGAGAGATTTGGAGTTAGGGACCTGATACAAGGTTGGCTCTGCCCGCTGAGGTTCGTGTGTTATTGGACAAGTCCAAAAACCTTGGTTTCCTGACTCGTATTGAATTATTACAGAGATCCAGGGAGGTAACGGAAGCAGTGTGTCAATTACTATACAGACGTCTGTGATTATCACTGTTCCGGAAGATCTTTTGATGACTGATTTTTTAAAACTCCTAACGAGTTTTCACATAATAACTATGCTAAAAGTAGATACATCTAGCAGATGCATGCTAGATCACAGGTCACAAATGGGCATGCTGGAACCCCAGACAGGTTTTTTTTTGCCCCTGACAATGTGTGGGCCTTAATTCTTGAGTTAGTAGATTTGGGCCTTCCCTTGAAAATGCAGAAGATCCGGTGATGCCTGGGCTCCATTCCCACCTGAGGCCATTTCACTGATGCCAAAGAGCGCCTGCTCCCATTCTCCAGGGTCCCACCCAGTCCCCAACACAGGCCCACCCAGCCCTGCTCCACTGGAGCAGGCACCAGAACCTTGCTGCGGTGCCCCAGATCCTGAAAACACGTTACAAGTTCCAGTTCTTGGCGCCAAGAGCACAGAGGGCATTTCCAAGAAGGCCCAACAGTGGGAATGGGGACATACTTTCTGCATTGCCAAACGGACTATAGATCGAGTCAGGAAGATAAGACATCACATCCCCAGCAGCGGGGAGATTCAAATGCTGAGCATTTCTAGCAGTGATGGAGACCAGCAGACATGGATGGGGAGTGAACAGTTTCCCAACAGGCATTTGTTTTCAATCCGTGCTTATCCACCAGCAGTCTGTAAGTCAGAGACCGGTTATGCCTCAATTCAGACTTCAGCAGTGTTTTAAAAGCTGCATGTGAACACAGATATTTCGTGGTATGCTATGAAAAATCAGCACTAACCTGCTTTCTACTTTGGTGCAAAAATCTAATTAAATTTAAGCGTTTATTGATTAGATGATATTAGCTAAATTTGGAAGAAACTGGGGGAAATGTAAATAAAAAATGTATGCTACCTCCACTACATATGAATTTACTTGAAGGATGCAAAGTTAAAAGTTATTCTGCCTTTATGAGACTGAATGAAAGGAGGTTGAGAGTTATTTAAAAAAAAAA